CCCCCCCTTTAACTTTTTTGTTTTAAGAGTTATAAAAAAATGTGAAATACAAAAGTTGCACGATTTTTTATGAAGTTTTCGAAAATGATAGTAGAAAAACAAATGAAGTTCAAACAAAACGGCCGCGGATGTTAACTTTGTTAATTTAAATGGAACACCTTGTTATATTTTTACATATTTGGATAGAACGTTCCTTGTCGAGCATAGTCATATAGAGTTTGTTGGGTCCATCTCTAATAATAGGCGAGATAATATTAAAAAACGAAATGACGGCCAATTAGTTAAATTAAATATTCTTAGTAAAATTTTTGAACGTATATGTTATAAGCATTTACTTAGCGCGGTTAAATCGTCTATAATTATTGAGCAACATGGATTCTTTCCACAAAGATCTATTGAATCCAATTTAGTAATATACCCCCAATATTACAAGTGCTATGGATAGCCAGACTTATATCTAAATTGTCTGAAATTGGTGTACATAGTAACCTACTGAGATGGCTTACCTCTTATGTTTTCAACAGGTCGCAATTGGTAACTATTAGTTACCAATGGTTACAAATCTCCCCCCTACGTTGCAATGTCAGGTGTTCCTCAGGGATCACATTTGGGACCTTTACTATTTTTAATATATATATCAACGATATCCGTCATTGTTTCAAATTTTGTAAATTTTTACTCTATGCAGACGATGTGAAAATTTACTCTCAAATAAATAATTCCGATAATTGTATTGCCTAACAGGAAGATTTAAACTCTTTCATTCAATACTGTAAATTAAACAAGCTTCAATTAAATTTAAGTAAATGTTTCTATATTTTGTTTTACCCGTAACCAAAATATATACTCTAATAATTATAACTTTAATAAGAATATTTTAAATCAAGTTGAAGAAATAAAAGATCTTGGGGTTGTATTCGACAGGAAAATGAGTTTTTCTTCACATATTGATTATATAACTTTAAAAAGCAACAAAATGCTTGGTTTCATTGTCAGAGTTTGCAAAAATTTTAGGTCGATTTTTGCTATTAAGTCTGTATATTTTGCATACGTGCACAGCATAATTAATTTTGCATCTATTGTATGGAGTCCTCAATATACCATATACGAGTATAAGTCTCGACTTGAGGCCATACAGAACAGATTTATGCGATATTTACACTACAAGGAGACTGGTGTGTATTCTTTTCATTATAGCACGATGTTACGAAATCATCATATTATTTCATTGGAGAATCGAAGAATTATTGCCGAAGCAGTATTTTTGTATAAGCTTCTTAATGATTTTATCGTTTCCCCAGATTTATTAGCCTTGATCTGTTTACATGTACCACAAAATGATTTTAGAGTAAATGCACTGTTTCATGAGACTTTTTATCGAACTAATTCTGGTCAAAACTCTCCTATAAACAGAATATGCAGACATTTTAACTTATACTGTAGTACTCTAGATATTTTCCATTCCTCGCTCATTAGTTTTAAAAGATTTTTAAAGGAAACTATTATTGTAACATTGTACATTTTCTATTATAATAATCTTTTCTGTACTTTTATATTCAATTAGCTTTAAGTAATTTGTGGACATTGTTTTGGGCTATAAAGCCAGCCCAAAACAATGTCCAACAACAACAAGTTATCGAAATGTTAATAACTTATCTTGGTAATCGTGAACAACCTACTTTCTTAATGCGAGATATTTGCCATTCAGTAAAATTAAATTTATAATTCAGTCGCTTTTGGCGCAAAGAGTTATTTTTTTGAATTAATGTGATTATATAAATTTTTTCATATGTCATTTAAACTACATTATGTTTATGTTTTAGGCTGGAATTGCAGAAACGCATGCCCTGGTTAGCTATTAAGGAAACAGCTAGTGATACTCAGTCGACTGTAACGGAAACGACAACTGCTCCACCCGCAGCTGCAACTTAATTATACAAATATTTTATAACAAAAAAAAATACATTTTTACGACGACTTGGCACAGATAAATCGGTTTATGAGTCGAATATGAGAAGAATTTTGGTAAATTACTTTTAAAAAGTAAGAAAAATTAGGTACCGCTGACGACAAAGTCACACTGTATTTCCATTACATTTATACGTAAATGTAATTTTTGTCATAGTTTGGTATTTAGAAAATATAGAGTGTATCCGTAAAGTAACGCATAAATTCATAAATTTAATAAAAATTCCGACCCTATCTAATTTATGAGTGACTTTACCGACATATCTGTTGTATAAAAATTATCCTTACAAAATACGCATTTAAAATACACTGAAATTAGCTACAATCAAAATTTTCTCATACAATATATTTTTAGTTAATTTATCAAAAATGTTTATTTCATTTGTACCATAGTTCAATAAATTATAAATAAGTAAGCATAACAGAAAAAGAAAAAAAAAAAACACTTAAAAAAATACTTTGTAACCTAATTTTATGAAATATTTGTACCTGCTTATAATAATCGATTTTGTTATTATTTTAACAGAATAAATATGAACGTCAGAAAGCATTTATTTTTGTATACACTACAATAGACTACAAGCCCATCGAAAATTTTTTTGACCCAATATGAATTACCTACATTTTTGTACGGCATTTCTAAACTATATAGGCTATACAAAAAAAGTGAACCTAGACCTAATGCCGTACTAAAATAGCAATACCGGAAGCCAGGAAAATTTTGGCCCGGGTTTTGGTGATTTATTACAGTACGGCATTTATACATTTATACAATATGCAAAGTAGCAAATTCTCTACATGTTCTTGAAATTTTGTCACATTTTCCATAAAAAACAAATAAATTAAAATTTCAATCTGCATACGACAGGGTAAAAAAATACAGGGTGTTCCATTTAAGTTAACAAAGTTATTGCTGTTTGAAGTTATCAAAATGTAACGGCAAAAATGAAACAGCTAGAGTATGTTTTAATTTGTTGGTATACCATAATTTAGTGTTACCTATGCCCTTTACAGGTACCAGAAATCCACTTGATATCACTGTCGGCACACACGTTTAATTTTATTTTATTGCATTATCTGGCTGTGTTGAGCTAAATATATTGAATATTCATCGTGTGATCTCCCAATGGAACTAGATAGTAAAACTCAAGCACATGACATATGTTGTATTGACAGTTTTATTAATTTTGAGATATATAATTCATTCCCGTGTAAAAATATACAGAATAAAGTGATAGCTTCATGTTAACTAGTGGTTTAAAAACAGAATTAACAATCACACTCCTGAAAAGAGTTACTAGCATCTCCATACACCTGTCAAAATTTTTCTTCTTTCTAAAAATTAATATCTCAAAATCTATAACTCCTAGGTATAGCGAATCTTTAATAAAGTGACCTTCAAATTTCACGTAGAATCCGAAAATGCAATAATATATAGGGTGTCCCATTTAAAATAACAAAGTTGACGTCAACCGGAAGTGCTACAGGAACAAAATTATTATATTTGTAAAGAGCACACCCAAGAACCCTCGTGTGCCAATTTTCAAAATTGAAATCGAAGTAGGTTCTGAAATAATCTAATAGGACACTTAGTGTGTATCTTGCTTATATTGTAATGAGAAAATGTATAGCTAGTAATTTTGTTACGTTATAAATTAAGAAAAATAATTAATATTGTTTCGAGATTGATAATTCAAACAACTATGCGTTGTTCACCGTTTAAATATGATTTCATTACTTTATTATTTAGTTACTCTACTCTTTAATAGTCATTACATTGAGAGACTACCGCCACCGTCACGCGCACCGCCATCGTCCGCCATGTTCGGGCCAAATGTATATATACATATACATAAGACTACTCTTATGTATATTATAGAGTTGCATATAGTTATTACCGGTTAGATCCTCAGAGTAATGCATTAATAAATTTGTTTTGTTTTAGGTTAATATAATAAGGGATTTATTGAATCAATCATCTGAACTGCCTTACTGTTTTTTATTCGTTTTTTTTTATCCAAAATGAGTTTACCTGGTAGAACTAAACGTCAATAATGTTGTATTCCAAATTGCAAAAGCATTTCTTATAGCTGTTTTACATTGACAATTTACTGATAAATAAATTGACGAAGTTCTTCATGAATTAATTCACGAATTTATTGGTAAACAGTGTGGTTTTACACTGCTACAGACTTTGTCAAGTTTTTTGACGTATGAATCAGTTCTACCAATGAATCAAAGAAGCAAATAAATTTCAAAAATGTCACCTTTCCACTCATAATTGTAGTGATACAACAGCGGTACCGTTCTGACACATATTATATAAATATTAGTTTTTGTAAGTAACAAATCAGTAAAAACAATGCAAAACTAGCACGACGCCACACAATTATTTACATATTCCAATAACATAACCTCATTACTGATCTGAGGCTGGAAATCTGTTGGGTTGGTACTTCCGAACTTCACGAAGAAATTGACGAAAATTAGAACATGCTCTAATTCGTCAAGAACTTGATGAATAAATTCATCAAGTTATTTGACAGCGGATTTGGTGCATTACACTTGTCCAATTTCTTGATGAAGTGACTTCATGAACTAATTCATCAATAAATTGTTAATGTAAAACAGCTATTATGGCTGTTTTGCGGCCGGTGGATTTCGATCTGCCAAGGTAAGCATCACGGACGTAGGTTGGAATTTGGATGGGTGACCTAAGGCAGGCTCGGGGACGTGGCTGTGGCAGCCTACCAGAGACCTGAGTCGCTCAACATTTTCCGCATGCGCGTGGTCTCCGATAAATGGTAATGAGAACAGAGCAAAGAAAATTTCTGTAACTTAAGACCATGCTATCATACATAAACTGTACGAGACTTTGCCACCAAGCCACCCGTGTAGTAAATAGGATGGTTTGAAGAAAAGTACTCGAGTAATGAAGGAGAGTGTACAAGGGGCCTAATAAGGTCTAAGTGCCGCGGTGGAAATACAATTCCACCACTCTCCGACATACATACATACATGTTAACGGTGGTGTACTTTAGGGGTTCTTAAATCCCTACATGATCCCTACTACGGACTTTGTTTATTTGGGGTAGAAACCCTCTCTCATTTAACATACATACAACTGCTATAAGTGTAGTATTACATCGTACTGATGAAAACCAATTACTTCGAAACAAATGTATCTAACCATAATTTTTGTCAAGTCACTGTGCAATGCATTTTACATAAAGGCAGGTAAATAATTCCTTCAAATTCTTTAAAATTTGCAGTTTTTAATGGTTTCTTTAGAAAATAATAATTACAAAATCTCCCTGTACATTTTTTTGATACTTAAAAACTTTCGAATTCATAACGGAATAAATTTGTATATTTATCACACATTTAAATATCACTACTTTAACTGTTTTATTTAACCAAATGATAATAATTAAAGTGTTTCATAAGTAATGCGTCATGGAAAAGCTGTTAATGGTTCACGTTAATTTCAATGAATAACTTAAACTATTAATAGATGTTTTGTGATCTATTACTTATGAAACACTATATTTTTGTGCATTTTGTTACATTTAAATTTACCGCCATTATGGTACAGCGACATCTATTAGATAGTAGAGTTAATGGTTACTCTAATTGTGTTTTCCAATGCAGTTTCCTTAATTATTTTATGGTCTGTTGTTTCCGAGTGTGTCGTTTGCTGCGCCAGCTACAGATGGCGGTACTCTGCCGCTGCTGCCGACAGAATACACAG